GTCCATCATGTCAGTGATGCCATCCAACCATCTCATCCTCTGTCGTCCCCTTGTCTTCCTGCTTTCAATCTTTCCTAGCATCAGGGTCTTTTCAAATGAGTTGGTTCTTCGCATCAGGCAGCCAAAGTATTGGAGTTTCAGCTTTAGCATCAGTCCTTCCAATGAATATTCAGGACTGATTTCCTTTAGGATTGACAGATTGGATCTCCTTGCAATCCAAGGGACTCTCAAGAGTCTTCTCCAACACCACTGTTCAAAAGCATCAATTCTTTGGCTCTCAGATATCAAAATAAAGCAAGGGAAAAGATAAAGAGCTTATAAGAAGCTATGTATTTCTAAACTATAGTGTTAGATGTGAGGACAAGGCACTTGTATGTATGTATATGAGTCTAATGAATACTTAGAGCAATTGAAGAAGTCGTGCGTGTTGGGGGTTGGTGTGGACTGTGCTCCATTAACAGACATGAGAAGGGAGTGACCATCCTAGTCCTAAGCAAATTGTTTTTTGTCTCTGCTCTTGAGAGAGGAAATATAGATTCAATTTAGGACAAGCTGAGATTTCAAGCTTCAGACCTTTATCCAGGTATAGATGTCCATCAGACTTTGGAAAAGAAGAAAAACTGTTTTCATCCAACACAGGAGAAAGTACCAAGAAAATAGGTGATGTAGGAAGAAACACTGAGTGGAGTAACTTTGATGTAGCTTACTTCCAAGTCTTCATCTGCCTTATTATAAAGCATAACTATCTGCAGAGAATAAGACAGGTGGGTGGAGGCCCACACGTTTCAGGCTTGTGGAGCAAGGAGGTTTACTAGGCCATGGGAAGTGTGAGGAGGCAATAGGAAACTGCTCATGAAGCACACACTTGAAAGGTGATCATGCCTATAAAGCAGCAGCTCCAGTGTGGGAAGCTCCAGTCAGGGAAGTCAGAGCAAGGGAAGGCACATTAGGGCAAAGGAGAGGTCCAAAGAAACAGCAACAGAAGGGCATTCTGAAAGCCTGAACCAGGGTTTGCAGTTTTATTGACTCACCCATTTGGGAGAATATCAGACAGTTTAGGCCAGAAAGTATAATCAGCAACCAGAATAAAGCACCATGGTATGTTGGTGTATGTTGGAATATTCCTGTTTCTTGTTTTCTGGACTTGAAGAATGTCAGAGTTAGCATATGTCAAGTGATGAATTTTCTTCAAGAAATGTACATCTGGTGTAACGTTGGGTTACAACGTTGGTAACTGTAATATATCATATAAAGACATATAATAAAGGGGGAAATGTCTATCCCAAAATACACTAAAAAGGTATTTGATAAAATTGCATACCCATCCTTTATTTAAAATAAGAAACTTTACAAAATAGCAATAACTTCTAGGGATTTGTTTGACAGAAATATTCAAATTTCTATACAGAAAATTCAGGAAAGAAAATAAACTACAAAATCGTTATCTTTACTATAAAAATAACAATGACCCATTAGAGTTATAATAGCAAATAGGAGAAGTTTCTACTCACAGTAACCGCCTATATTAGTTTGCTAGAGCTGCCACAACAAAATACCACAGACTGGGTGGCTTAAATAACAGAAATTGATTTCTCATGGTTCTGGGGACCGGAAGTCCAAGATCAAGGAGCCAGCAGGTTTGGTTTCTAGTGGAAACCTCTCTTTTTGGTTTGCAAGTGGCCATCTTCTCTCTGTGCCCACACACCCTGGCGTCTCTTTGTATATCCCAATCTCTTTTTTTACACGGATACCAGTCAGACTATTCTCGGGCGCTAACAACCTCATTTGAATTTAATCAACTCTTTAAAGGCCAAGGTCTTATCTCAATATCCAGTCATATTCTAAGATACTAAGGATTAGGACTACAACATAAGAATCAGGGGAGCATAATTCAGTCCATAATATCCCCAGAAATATATACAATATCTAAATTTAAATCTAAGAAGATAAGAACAACCTAAAGGAAGACAGCTATATCATGACGCTTCACTGGAAGACATAAAAGAACATTTGAATAAACGGGGAGACATACTATGTCCTTGGTGGGAAAGTTTTGATATTATAAACTGCCAATTTATTCAAGTTAATAGATATAACACAAATCAAAAGAGGAAATATCAAATCTCTCAAATTTTTTTTATTTCTCTTCCATATTCGTTATATTATCTTCAGTGATAAATTCTTTTATTTCTAAAGGGCAGGCCACCATCAGCTCAGACCCATCAAGTTTTACCCTAAATCAACTTTCTAAACCTGGGATTTCCCTGGTGGTCTAGTGGTTAAGAATCTGCCTTGCAATGCAGGGGATGCAAGTTCAATCCCTAGTCGGGAAACTAAGATCCCACACGCCACAGGGCAACTGAGACCATGCATACTCTAGAGCCTGTGCACCACAACTAGAAGGTCTGCACACTGCAACAAAAATCCTGAATGATGCAACAAAGATCCTGTGTGCCATAACTAAGACCATATGCAACCAAATAAATATATCTTTTCAACCACCCTATACCTAGCAATAGAAAATCATCACTCTACCAATTACTTAGAATAAAACTTCTGGTTTATCTTTGAAAATACTCTCCTTAGAATGCCTAAATACAATCATTTCGTTCTGTGGAACCATTCTTGTTCAAGTTAAAACCTGCTCCTTCAGTTCTATTCCTATCTGCCCTCCTTTTCTCATATTTGGATTCTAACTCCAAATACCACACCAACACCAACACCACAACACCAACACCTAATCTTTCTAAAATTGGTTTTAATCATTCTTTCACAAGTTTATAAATATTGTATCCAATATGTCTACTTGGGGACCTTAGATAAGTTGGTTAATATGCCTCAGTTTATTTAGCTGTAAAATGGGGATGATAGCAGTACCTACCTCTTTGGGTTGTTATGAAAAGTGAGCTAATTTTAAAGTATTTGAAATAGGAGGTGTTTTATATGTATTTGTTAAATTAATAATTACCTTTCCCACTGTTTTACCTGGTACTTACATTGCTCACTTTGAGAAAAACTCATTCCTTGGGGTTTAGGCATTATATGTATATCCTTTTCAAATAATTCTATTCAGAAATATTTGAGCAATATTTTATCAATGAATTCAGGTTCTAAAAAATGTTTTTAATAGCAAAAGATTGAAGGGAACCTACTTGTCTACAAGTAGAAAACATAATGTTTAATAAAAGATGAAGTCCTACTATGAAAAACTATGGAGACAAATTTGTAGATGAAAGATACATTTGACATGGAAGGATGGCCATAACATAGTGAGTGAAAAAGGCAAGTTAAGGAATAAGAGATGCAATGTACTTTTCTGCACATTCTTTTCAGGAAGAATACACAACTACATATGAAGCTTTAAGCAGAGGACAGAAATCTGGTATGAAATGAGATAGTATGACCTTCTTACAATGAACATGTGTTGATTTTGTAATTAATACTAAGTAAAAGCAAATTAATGAGAAAAAAACTTTAGAAGTTTAAATTTTCCTCATCTCATGAAAAGCTCACTTATCAAAAGACAGTCTTTTTGCCTTTAATTTTCAGGTTTTTATCTGAACTGAAGGAAAATACTGGTGAGTTTTGGGGCTTGGTGAAGAATCAGATGCTAGGATTTGCTAAAACCTCTGTCCCACTATAGATAGCTTTAAGCACCTCGGAGATTAGTTTCAGATGTTACTGTTTGTTACCTAAGAAAGAGGCATCGTCAAACATTTCTGCTTTATCCTGAAGGTCACCCAAAGACCATTAAAGTAATTACCCGGGAAATTCTAATTTAATGAGAGACAAAACTTTCCATCTTAAGCATTGACGAGTATTAAGGGAATTCAATCCTTTTCAACAAATCTCCAACCTCTCTGAAGCAGAAACTCTTCAAGTAGAAGAGTCTGAATTTTCTCATCTTTTGCATAATCGCTTCCACCACCAAGAAAGAACTCAGGTAGTTATGAATAAAGTTCAGCCACACTTAGAAAAATCCTTTCTTCAGGAGTTCCTGTATGCCCACACTTAAAGGTTTGGGCTTTATAAGTAAAACGTGGCCTACTATAAGGGCAAGAAAGAGTAAACAATCTCAAAAAAATTAATTACATGGTGCATTTAAGCTATCTGGGTACCTGCTTTAACTAGAAAAACAGTCTGTTTTCATTTGTCATCACTAGGCCTCAGGAAACTAGGCCCTAGCCACCACCTGGTGACGCTGATGACGCGGGATGTCGCACAGCTGCCTCTGTTAGAAAGGCTGGGCAGTCTCCTTTAAGAAGCTGACTCACGTGGACGCTATGTTGTGTGCTCTCAGCTGGGAAGCGGGGTGGATCTTAGGTCTCTCCACATTGGCTGCCTCTGGAGAGGGGGCAGAGTTAGCCTCTTTGATTGGCTCTCCGGGTCCAGGGTGTTGGATCGGGGCGGGGCGAGCTGCAGGGAGATTGCCCCGGGTCTTGCGGCTTCTCGGAGGGGTGGGCCTAGACGCAGACTGGAGAGGGAGTGGGGGAGGGTGCGCCAGAGAAGGGGCGGGGCCTAGCGGAAGGGGCAGGATACCCGGGAGAGGGCGGGGCCTAGAAATGAAAGGCGTTCTGGACCAACCGGGAGAGCCGACTGTTCGAGGGGCGGAGCTACACCGGGTGATTGACGCCGAGGCCCAACCAGGGAGAGGCGGGGCCAAGGCCAGGGCCTGACTAAACCTGAAGACTCTGGTGGCTAAGGGGCTTCATCCCAGCTGAGAAGCGAAAAGCCGCAGGCGGCCGCCGACTTCACAGCCGCTCGGGGGTGAGTGCGGCGGGCGGGGGCTGGGTTCGGGGCCGGGTAGGGGCTCAGGCGCCTCTCCGGATCGGAGGCTTTGAAACACTCTGGATCAGCCCAGGGCGGGGGGCCCAGGCAGGAAGTGCCTCTCCCTCTCCGCGCTCCCTCGGGGGTCCTAGCGCGGCCGACCCTCGCCCCTCAGGGCGGGCCCTGGTGCCGGGGCTGCGGACTGACGAGCTGGCCTGTTTCCTCTTTGTGAGGCCGAGGCGCGGCGGCCGCCGTCGGCCCGCCCCCGCCGCGCAACCCCGGCGACTGGCGCGATCGCAACAGCCGCGACCTCCAGCTCGGCGCCGGCCCCCTCCAGCCCCAGCGCAACCTCGAAGGCCCTGCACGTCGCGGCCGGGGCCTCAGGCAGCCGGTCCGCGGGCTGTTTGGCCGGCGACCCCACAGCCTCGGCTGCCCCGCCCCCACGGGCCGCGTCCCCGCCGCAGCGTCGGGGGCGCGCCCCGGGCTCCGCGCCGCGGAGGTCGCCGCGGGAGCCACGAAGTGAAGTCTAAACTCGACTCTGAAATATGCGGCCGTAATAACGCCACGGCGTGGCCCGTCCTTCAAAAGGGCCACATCCTCACTCGGCTGGCAGTTACCACCGGCGGGGTGGCTGTGGTGGCTTTTGTTTGCTGTCCCGCAAAAGCTGGATGCCCGCCACCCTACCCTCCTGCGCCCCAGGAGACCCCGGGCCGAGGGAGGGGTCCCCGCCCACTTGACTGGAGGGCGTGGCGCGACTGTTGGGCGGCCGTCGGGCGACCCGGGCCGCGGGGCGGCCCGCTCAGCTGTTTCCGGCCTCTGTTTGTTGTGCCGGAGGAGGCCGGGCCGCGCCGCGCTCGGGCCCCGTCCGCTCCTGATTGGCCCGCGGCGTCACGTGCTGGGAATCAGCTGGGGCCAGCCGGGGCTTCGGGGCCTGGGCGGCTGCGGCTGTTCACACCCGGCGCGGGGGTCGCCTGCAGTCCCCACGGCTCGCTGCATCTTTCCTCTCCTGGTTGGTAGGGCGGTAGGCACGCTCTGGCCTCTCGTTTAATCTGCACTTGTAGGTAGGACTATGAGTATTGAGGACAGCGGAAGCTGGAAAACTGAAATACTAAAAAGATCTGTTTTATCACGACATCTATTAGTCTTCTCTTTCAGGGAGGGTCTGGGAAGGTGGACAGCTCATTTATTTTTAAATTTTTTTCTGTTTACAGAGCCCTGTTGGTAGTCTGAGGATTTTTATTGCAGATCTCCTTGATAGATGGAGAACAAAGTAATCTCAGGCTGACCTTGTGTTTTCGGAAAGTTAGACTTGCTGGTGAAATAGCTGAGGATAATAAGGTATTAGCTAACTTTGCGCAGTCGCACATAGTGTAGCTGCTGTGTTCCAACAAAGATGACCCAAAATGTATGCAGTGTATCCAGGGTACATATTTGTGCCAGATGCGAAGGGTCTTGGTGTAATCTTTTTCTAAAGGTTTATTGCATACTTGTACTATGTGTTAGATGAGAAGGAAATTGCAAGGAAATTGCCAACTTTTCTCTAGAAACTAATGATTTTTAGTAAAAAGGCATAGGGAAATGAAGGGTAACAGTTAAATATTAGTAATTTATAAAATGAGTAGTATGAGAGTTCAAAAATGGGACAATGAGAAATAAGAATGAAATAGGAAGCATTCTATGAAGTGGATTGGTATTGATTAGACCTAGAAAATGAAGAGGCTTTGGATTGCTATTGGGCAAACCGAGGCTTAGGAGAGCAAAAAAGGCCTGGAGGCTTAGAAGGTGGAGCTAAAGGAATTTGGTACTTTGTACTAGAAAGGGAAAGTTGCTCTGAAGTGTCTGGCTCTTTGCGACCCCATGGACTGTATTTGGAATTCTCCAAGCCAGAATACTGGAGCGGGTAGCCTTTCCCTTCTCCAGGGTTTCTTCCCAACTCAGGAATAGAACCCAAGTCTCCCTCATTGCGGGTGGATTCTTTCCAGCAGAGCTACAAGGGAATCCCGAGAATACTGGAGCCTATCGCTTCTCCAGGGGATCTTCCCAACCCAGGAATCGAACTGGGGTCTCCTGCATTGTAGGTGGGTTCCTTACCAACTGAGCTATCAGGGAAGCCCTCCGGAAAGGGGAAAGGGTACCCACTCCAGTATTCTGGCCTGGAGAATTTCATGGACTGTATAGTCCATGGGGTTGCAAAGAGTGGGGCACAACTAAGCAACTTTCACTTTTGTACTAGAATACCAGGCAAATGTCATGCTCTTTGGAAGTGACCAGTGTCTTCCTTTAGCACATTCTCGCCCAGCTCAAGGCCCAGTACAGACCTGCTCCTTTGATGGGGCATGTTTTGTTTTAAGTTTATATCTGTCAGCCATCTTATCTATAGGAGAGCATGTTAATGAAATGTGCTTAAGAAAGTTGTTTAACTCTATACAGGAACCTAAATTGGATTTTAACAACATACAAAATACATGTTGCTACATCTGAAATATCTGTTTGGATCCTTGAGGACCTTTGCCTAGGTTTAGTTGCCTTTGCTTTATTTAAGTGGTAGGAGAGGATAAAAAAAGGTTTAGAAAATAAAAAAGGAAGGGAATTAAGGCCAAAATTAAGTCTAAATGTGAGATTAAACTAGCTACTACCCTCCAAAAAACAGTCCATGAGATGTGAAGCTAGTTGTAAATATTCAGATGTGAAGATAGTCCTACTAAGTATAATCCTGCTGAGAATATCATTTTAGGTTTCATAGTGCCTAACTGGTTGTATAAACTAGTATCAGTTTCTCTGGTAATCCTGTGTAGTAATGGTCGTGGTGTAGGAACTGAATGTTAGCTGTGACATGAAACTTGCTATTTCACACGTGAATCAGGAAACCAGACAGTTGAATTATACTCCAGTCCATCTAGTTAGAGACTTTTTTGACTCATGGTATTGCATCACGACAAAGTAGAGAGATCTTGAGTTTGCCTTGCCAAAAACTGTTTTGGTGAGATTACCAACTCAGATTGTTTAGCTGACTCCCCGAGTTACATGACTAGTCTTATTTTCAAGTGATGACTAAACAGAATTATAGAAACATAATAAACTTGGAAAACATTTAGCAACAAGACATTATTTGGACAGCAAAAAGAAAAATATAAGTTACTGTCAAATGAAGACCTGTGCCACAACTAGAACGTCATTTGAAACAGCAAAGTAAACTGGTCACGTTTTATAAGAGAACTAGAGGAAAGCACAACTTGTTTCACCAAAACCTTGACTTGGTGAATATTTTGTACAAAAATTGGAGAATTGGTTTTATGGATCAAAGTCAATTTATTATTTTCTCTTGTAGATTTTCAATAGAACTTACCATAAATCAGTATGAAATAGTTGATGAGATTACAGTAGAGATTAAGTGTTAATTATAGTAATCAGCCAAGGGCTGTCTTTGGGTTTGTTCCTTTTGTATTGGAGAGTGAAGAGACTGAAAACTAGATATACCAGCTTGTTTTCGCCTGTTTCCCTTTCAGCCAGACTTCTGCAACACAGAGCCTCTCCTGGAAGGGCAGATTCCTTTAACCCTTTCTGCACTAGGCTCCTGCACACTTAGGTCCCTGCAGGAGAGAGTCTTTGCATCTTGCATTTGCCCACCAACTCCTAGGGTAATGGAAAAGCCCCTCTTATCTGTCCAGTGATAGAGTTGGGTGGAGTGTGTGTTCTGTTGTCTGTGGCAATGCCCTGAGGAAATAATATAAAAAACAAAACAAAACACAGTCTGTGAACTGGGTGTTTTACCAGAGGGTTCTTAGAGATGCCTCCCTGGTATTTTTAGGGCTGGGGAGTGTGATTCCTCCTCCTGTGAATTCTGCTTGCCAGGATTGAATCTGAACTGGATTATTAGTTACAGGGAGGGTAAGTGCCTATTTTAAGACCTAGAATTATGATACTAAGAATTTGAGATGCTTCAAAAGTTTCTAGCTCTCCTTCTGCATGTCATTTCTGTCACTTAGCTTTGCCATGGTTAACAAGAAATGAAGCTAGTTAATTGTTGATTTTATTTTCTTTCTGAACCTTGCTTTCTTCATCTGTAATTAGAGGGAGGTTAGGGTGGAGAATGTTGAAGAAGGTAATCTAGTTTTACTAGATTTACCTTTATTTAGTATTTATTGTGTGCCAGGCACTGTTCTCAGTGTAGTGCCATGTAATTTCCACAGCTCAGAGATGAATACTGATACCACCATTTTATTGATGAAGAAACAGGTGAGGATACCTTATCCAAAGTTTACACAACTTTTAAGCAGCAGAGCTAAGATTTGAACCCAGAGTTCCAGTATTTGGGATACGTTGTTTAAATCCTGGGGGTGGAGAGAGGAGGAGGCAGCAGCTAGTTATACTTTCTATTTTTATAATCTATGTATTGTTGATCTTCAACACGCTGAACTTGCTACAGGAAGTTGAAGACTTTAGTTAGAAAACCCATGAAGAAAATGGAAGTGGGATTAAATTGATTGTGTCAGATATTCCTGTTGATCCTTAAACCTGAATGCCAACCAAGTTTACTTTTTTCCTGAGAAAGATTGCCTACTTTCTAAATGAAGAGCTCTTTTGCTGTCTGAACAAGTTTTTCAGCAAGGGTCAGTGCACTTTCTTTCAAGGGCCAGATGGTGAGTATTGTGAACTTTGTGGGCCATAAGGTTTCAGTAGCAACTACTCAAACTCTGCCATTATACTGAAAGAGCAGCCAAGTATCAACAAATGGGTCTGGCTGTGTTCCAATAAAATTTGTGTATGGTCACTGAAATGTGGATTTCATGTAATTTTCATGTGTCACAAAAATGTTCTTTTGGTGTTTCTTCCCGGACCATCTTAAGGTATAAAAAGCTTTCTTATGTTGCAAGCCATACAAAAACAGGTGGTGAGCTTGATTATTGCCTGTAGGTCTTAGTTTTCTGACCCTTGCTTTTAAAGAAAATATTCAGCAATAAGCCAGACTAATGAACAAGGTATCCTATTTGTTAGTGTGTATGTGTGTGTGATGTGTAAATCAGCACCAGTGGTGAACAAGTGAAATTTGAAATTAATGCAATACCATTTACATTAGCATTCCCCCCCCCAAGATGAAATATTTAGGTATAAATCTAACAATGTGTACAAGATCTATGTGAGGAAGAATATAAAACTAATGAATGAAATCAAGAACAACTAAATGAATGGAAAGAATTTGTGTGTTCATGGATAGGAAGACTCAATGTTGTCAAGATGTCATTTCTTCCAACTTGTTCTGTAGATTTGGTGCAATCTCAGTCAAAATTCAAGCAAGTTACTTTGTGAATATCTCAACAAATTAATTCTAAAGTTTCTATAGAGAGCAGAAGACCGGGGAGAGGCAACACAATATTGAAGGAGAAGAATTAAGTCAGAAGACTGACAGTACCCAACTTAAAGGCTTAGTATAGAAAGAAAGTGAAAGTTGCTCAGTTGTGTCTTATGTTTGCGATCCCATGGATTATACAGTCCACAGTACTGGAGTGGGAGCCTTTCCCTTCT